GGTAACCTCCAGCATCCCTGACACTGACGCCCAAAGTCAGCAACAACAGCCAGAAGTTCACCTGCCTGAATTTAAAGTAGCGAGCAGTGCTGAAGATTCAAAGGCTTGTAAGGGTCAGAGTGATTTCACAGAGAATCCTGAACACAACACCTGCACGGGACATCATGGTAACACTTCAGCTCTGTAGACTGTCCACTTTTTTTCTGCTCAGGTTCCTGTGTATTAGCCCAAACAACAGTTTCAAAGCATGTGTTTTGCTCTTTTCTCTTATTTCAGAGAGTCAAAATGCATCTAAAACCTCTGACGTCTGCAAGTCATTACCTCACACTGAGAATCCGGTTCCAACCAACCGCTGGCCCATCAGACTCATGTCATTGATCTTTGTCACTCAGGGAGTTTTTACGTCTCTTCTGGGCCTGATCAACAGTCTGGTGATGCTACTGATCCTCCCGGAGGTCATCGACAGCTCTGGTGCCTGCTGCCTCCTGGTTTACCTGGATCCTGGCCTCTCTCTGCTGGCTGTCATTACGCTGATTGCCACCTCTGCACCGCAGGTCACACTCTGTGTGTTTATGTCATGCTAAACTACACACTTAAAGTTGTAATCATTTGAAAGGTCTGGAGACAGGCCTCTAGTCTGCATCCAGAATAGATGCACGACAGAATGAGTTCATCTCAAGCAGAGTATCTTTCTATAATCTACTTAGTTAACTGGCAGCAGAGCAACTGATTTTACAAATAAAATTATATTGCAGGAAAACTATGAAGAGGTTAAACACATAATTCAGACTGAAAACAACACAACTGTAAATCCACACTGTGAGAGTGTGTGAGAGGAAAAGCAGTGTACAGTAGTTTATTATTAAAAGTACAGTTAGAATATGCTTGTGCTTTGAGCACTTTGGTCAGTAAGACTGGTATAGACTTAGTGCATTAGTAAGTTTTAGCCAATTTGAAGTCAGGAAGGAAATAATGCAGTTATGGACAAGAGATTCTGGTGGATTAAAATCAAGTATTTGAATAAATTAATGTGTAAAATACAGTTTTTTACATTAATTTGGTGGTTTAAATGTCTGCAAGCAAGTAAGGAATAGATATAAAAACATAATTCAAATGTAGGCTTAATAAATGCGATATAAGGTCAGCAGACACAAATAGTTGCTCTATTTCAGAGTCAGATATTCATGTTTATAGAACAATAAAATTGGTTGCAGCCAACAGGGGGAAAAAAACTACTTTTGTATGTAAGAGTCTTTATTAATTTTCATTTTTACTGATTTTTCTTTACTGCTTTTCATCAGAAAAAACTCAATTTAGGTGCTTTTTTTGCGGAAAAAACAAACACAAATAAACAAAAACAAACTTTAGACCATCCTGGTTCTCTGTGCAAAGGTCTGACTGAATGTCAATTATTGACATTTGTATTGATTTTCTTTATGTGCCATATCCATGTATATGTATGAATATATATACATATATACATGTATGTATATATATTTTGATAGAGGGCAGTCCACAGGATTTACAATAAGGTTATATATGATATATATAATAATATTATAGGTTTGCAGCTATTTCCCTTTTCCATATTCTCTGACATCGTTCATGAGAGATATGTTTGACATATTATAGGTCAACAAGTAATTTACAACACTTCAAATGCTGCCAATCACTTTCTGGCACTTCCAAAGTCTGTTTCATAGTACAGGCCTCTGTTTTCACTCTTGCTTCCCTCTGTAGTTGTGCAGGTATGGACTGCTGCTACAACAAGCCACACCACCACATATTTGTGTTACTGATCTTGGGCGGAGGATTGCATGCTTGCCTGGAGTGCAGGCTGTGCACGACCTTCACGTCTGGCAGTTAACTGAATCCCTCGTTGTGGCCTCTGTTCATGTGCACTGCTACACGGGATTTCCAGCACACAGGTGAGACAAATAGGTTTCTGTTCTTTGGTGGTGTTCTGACAGTCAGCACTGAGTATTTTGAGACTGGTGGTCAAAATGTCTCACAGTCTCACTTTAACTGTCACTGCTCAGTGGCTATCATAAATATGATCTGTCTAAATTCAAAATGCGACATTTTATTGATGCAGGTTCATTTCACATGTATGCAGGTGTGCTGAAATGATGTCGGGAGTCACTAAAGTGCTGCGAAGTGCAGGTGTGAGCTGCTGCACTGTTCAACCAGAGTTTGATTCCACCTCATTAGGCAGCGAGGACGGAGCTTCTCCTGTTATCCACAGAGAGGACCCCTCACCACCACCTCCCCTGGCGTGCAGTCTTTCCTGCGGAAAGGCCTGTGCCAGGAGTATGTGCTGTTCTCCTCCAGAGGAGGCGATCCAGAGCCTCCTGGCGCCACCGAGTGGAGAAACAAAGGAAGAGCCTCAGACTTTGATCATTGAGAACACTTTTCTCTGACAATAACCAAAGAATAACCACGGAGGAAAGAAATTAATCATCACACTCATTTCAAAACGGAGAGGGGAAGATGGTGAAATGTGGGGAAATAAAATGACCCGAATAAGCTCAATATCAGTCTCGAGTTTTGTGGTGCTACTCCGAGAAATTTTATGCAGTGTGTAGTAAAATGGTTTAGATTTTTTTTGTAATCCCTTATGTCGCCATACTTGTGCCTGAAAACTCTGTTAGTGTTTCCAAGTTGTACAATAAAAGAAATATTCATTCTAATATGTCCTGTTTTTTTTAAACAGGAGTAATAAGTAATAAAAATGATTCACTGCTCCAGATTGTTCACTCCAAATATCATTCTACGATTAAAATTTGGCTACAGCTATAACTCATCCTGAAATGCTATATTTGCAACATTACATGAGTTTGATACTGTGTGGAAAAGTTGGAGTTAATCTAAAATACAATAACAAACATTTATGTGTATATTTCCTGTAAGTGTAAACCATGTGAGTCCTTCTTGTCCCTGCTAAACATCTTCGTGATCTTGAAAAATATCTTGTGTTTACGTCGAAGTCCCATGAAGCAAGAAGAGAAGAGCAGGAGGTGAGTTCAGCTATGTGTGAGATGTGCCTGAGATGCCTGTAGAAACCGTTTACAGCTGTTAAAACCGCTTTACATCATCTGATCAATAGGCTTTATGCGCTTCTCTTTTTTAGTCTTTTATTTATAATTTGAATGCTATATAATGATATACTACACACCACAACACACCCAAAGGCAATACAGCCATAATCAGCTGTCGGCTGTTTGGATTCTGTTGTAGCGGTGATCATGCAGCTTACCTTTGAGAAATCCGTGTGTCTCCTCCTTTATATTTTCAGACAGCCAATCAAAGCACGTCTGCTTTGCATAACAGCGCAGACTTGATTACATGTCTTTTCTTCAGTGATGTATTCGCACAAGAAAGATTAGATTATCTGTCTTGCAGTAGACGGTCGTTTTTGTGACCTATCTTTGATTAAAGCACGCTTAAAACAGTCACTGTATGTAGCACCGTGAGTCAGATAAATATTAATGGTATGGGGTATTTATAAGCGTAAGGAGGCTGTCAGTAAATGCCCGGATGAGCCTCGGTGGTCCGGGGTGCAGGCTTCAAACCTGTAGCTGCTTAGCGGCAGAGTGGTTCAATTCCACCTTTCGGGCGTAACGGCGAAAAACAGTTTTGAAATGATGAGTAATCGAGCGATTAATGATTTGTGCTGTATAAACGCTTAAAAACGCATTGTGCCACTTCCTGTGAACCTTCGTCATTGCTCTCCAAAATAAAAGTTCATGTTTACGGACTATATATCAATATCAATATCAAAATAATATCCGAACTCTTCAATGCAGGAGATGGTAATGGTCCTCCAAACCATGAGCACTTTAAACAGAAGGGTTTCACAAACAAAGTCCTACCTGTGCACACTCCACTCCGTCTTGTGACAGATAGACACATCTGCATATAAATATAGCTTTTAAAACATATATATGTAAAAAAAAAAAAAAAAGATTGTTTTTAATTTTATATTTCCTTTTAAGTAAACTCCCTGCAGAGTTCAATGAACTACAATCCCTGCTATGGAGAGATTATCGTGTCTTGTTGAATCTCTTGCACTACTGATTTAGGTTCTCTTTAAGGATTTCTTTTCTTCTTTAAGCTCCCCCCCACACACGCACATGCTAAGTGTGCAATGAAGTCTGATTAACTGACTAAAAGACAAAAACACCTTGACGTTAGGGTTTAAAAAACAGATTTCTTGTACATTTATTAAAAGTGTAATGCTGCTTATAAGTAGTGAAGGACTTTAAGAATACTTCTACCGAATAATGAACAAAACACAGCGCTTAGATTCTTAAAGGAAGCTTTTGGTCCAAAAAGATGAAAGAAAAACAAACATAACACGTTTATATATATGATGAGTATTTTTACAAGAACACGTCTTTCGTTTGTTCTGGTCTAAAGTACATTTTTATTTTCTGCCTGTGGGCGCACATCCGGTTTGCCCGGAAAAAGCGACAGAGTGACGTCTTCTCTCGGCCAATCATATGTGACGCTGTTTGCTCTTCGCGGAAGTTGCGGCCAGTAGCGGAGGATTCACGATGCCCTTGCTGGTTTGATGTTGAGAAAACGTGGATTAAAATATCCATTGTTGTTTGACGGCGTTGCTTTTTCTAATTACGCGGTGAGACCTTTTAATAGTGCGGGTACAGACACTTATGGAGGGCTTGTTTCATTAAATAAGCCGGTGTGTAACTGTGTTGTTGGCCTGCATTGGTTAACGATCAGCTAATATCATCAAACTTATTCTGTCTCTGTATCCCAGTAGCTATTTGTTAAAAGAAATAAACGATTCAGAAAAATGTTCAGCTTGTAATTACATAAGGCATTTCTGGCATTTTGCATTAACTGAAAAAAAATACTTTCTGAGTCTTCATCGCAGTTCTCGCTTCATTATTTTAAGAATGCAACCTGTCACAGAAAAATCAGGAAGTTTTTCCTCTTTTATTTCTGCACCAGATTATTTTCTGTATGTATTAAAGCTGTAACACCTGCAAACACTGGAACACTGTTGATTTTTTTGATTGGTCAATACAAGCAACACTAAGTTTTGTTCTTTCATCCCTCCTCTGTGTTGCAGATTTGACTGTCAAAAGCAAAAATGCCTCTTCTGAAGTACTCCCCTAAAGTGTGGGAGGCCCTTAAAATGAAACAGGGCATCTATGCTCGTCTCCCGAAGCACTACCTCAAGTCACTTGAACAGAAGGAACCCACACCTGTCCACTGGAGGCCTCTAGGAGTCCAGTACCGAGCCAACCCCAACACGGGGCTGAAGGAACGGGTGCAGGATGTCCCAGTCCCAATCTACTACCCTCCAGAGTCCCAGGACGGCCTGTGGGGAGGAGAGGGCTGGATATCGGGCTACAGATATGCCAACAATGACAAAGTTAGTCTGTAGAAGAATAGGGTTTTTTTTGTCTTTTTTGTGCTGCTGTTGTGTTCTTTTGATTCCCTCTTTTGATAATTTCCTATAAGAATATTATTATATTATATAAAATGCTTGTATGAAAGCAGGGGGCAGCTTCTGAAGAACAGAGCATTAGAAGTTGTATTCCTGAGTTTGCTCCATTTGATTTGCATCAAGTCATTGTGTCTTTACAGAGAACCATTCACAAAAGTAAAGTGATCTTGAAAATATGAGTTGGGTGAAAACTAAAAGCTTTACTGCTGCTTAGTAAAAATGGCAAAGCGCTGTATTGCTAAAGAAGAACATCACCTGCTGTATTATTGGCTGTGAAAGTTCAGCGTTTATATATATTAATCTGAGAGAAAAATTCTACGTGATCAGTATCAGGATTTATAACAGCTGATAAATGAAAGTCAGAAAAGTAAAGATGATGGGAGAAATGTCCTTCAGCTATATTATGAGTGCTGATGTTTCGTAGTTTGTCCAATAGAGGACACTCTGCAGCTTCCCTGTTGGCAACATGGGTTTGAAGCACCACAAATACAACAACCAGCAGATCCAAGCAAGGTTGGGGAAAGTGTAAACAACTAAAAAAAAGTTCAAAATTCTGCCTCAAGAGGAAATCTCTAAATCGCTCACAGGCCCTTGTGAGCCTACAAACCACCTCCTCCACCTGCACATATATCTCTGCTTGACAGGTGAGAGATGATGTGAAAAATAGGTGAGGCGCCTCTTCACCATAGTTCTGTAGTAGAACGCCACCTAAACGAGAAGAGGAAACATCTCCTTACAAATAATGATAATAATAATGACGATGATAATTCCTTATTTGAATCATACCGAGACAGATTTATGTGCCAGCTCCTCTTTCAGGTCACATGAGGCTTTTGTCTTGATCAGAACCACTATTTCTTCTTTAAGAGCAAGTCTCTGAGGAGTTTGTTTTTCTCCACGAGCTGTGGGATTGATTGATTGATTGATTGATTGATTGGTAATTTATTTCAACATGTGAACAATATACAAGTACATTTAGAAAAGAAAATAAGAAAGAAAAAAAAAATATATATATACACTGTACAAATTGCATACAAAAAAAATTATTAATTTACATGTTGAAAGGGAGTGGGAAGAAGTAAACACTTGTTTAATCCCACCCCTTTGCCATAAATTATGAGTTAATATTTAGTCAGCTTCCTTACTGATATAATTTGTAATAAAAATAGTGAACAGATTTCTGATATACTATATACTAATATCACATCATGAGTTGTTTTTTGTTTTTTTAAATAGAGACATTCACTTAATTGATGATCAACTGATGATGAACTCTGACTGCTGCTGTCTTGCAGTAGTAGTTTAATATAGTGGAGCTACAGGTCATTTGATAATGACAGACTCATTGGAGAAGCAGCTGATTATTTTCAATGATATATTTGACTATTGCCAATGAGAATACTTGTGGTGAACCACCTCATGTGATATTATGTGATATATTTATTATTTAACCTGAGAAAATTAAAAAAGTGCTCGTTTTACTTACTCAAATGTATTTTTTTGTGTGTGTGTTTTGAAATAGTTTAAAAGTTGTCTAAACTGTCTTTGTTTAGATGTCCACTCGTCTGAGGAAAACTTGGAAACCACAAGTGTTCAAGAGAGAACTTTACAGCGAGATCCTTGACCACAAGTTCACCATCCCAGTCACAGCTCGCACTCTGGACCTCATCGATGCTGCCTACGGCTTCGACTATTATATCCTCAAAGTAAGAGAAAACTACTCCAGTTCAACATGAACTTTTTCTTATTGTGTTTTCCGTGTGTCTCTAACTAATGACTGGTTGTAGACACCAAAGGAGGACCTCAACTCCAAACTGGGGATGGACCTGAAGAGGGCAATGCTGCTTCGTTTGGCACGCAAAAACACAGAGCTTTACCCTAATGACCCCATTAAACGAGAAAAGGTTTACGAGAAATACAAGGTATGTCCAATATGTCTGAGTCAACCGAGGACCCGGTGAGTAAAGTCAACAAGGAAAAAAAAAAAAAAAATAATACTCCCACTTTTTTCTCTGTGAGCAGCAGTTTGAGATCCCAGAAGAAGTGGTAGAGTGGGTTGGTCTAAGTCTGGAGGAGGCTGTGGAGAAACAGCGGCAGCTGGAGCACAAAGTAATGAGTCATTTAAGTTTTAAGTTGGTGTGTCTAGAGTGAGTTATATGTCGGTATGTGACATCACATTTACAGAAAAAGGTTGTGAGAAAAGGGAAACCCTGCAGGAGGAAGACTGTTTCCTATTTATCCACAGGCCTCTTTACTGATGGATTTGAACCCTTAGTTTTTCCTATTAAAACCACATTGGTGCTTCCAGGACCATGTGAGATGAAAGCTGACAATGTTATTCTTTGTTTTATATTAAAATGAGCTGTATCATTTAAAGGTCATGAGATACATCTTTTGATAAATCTCTCTTTGCTACATTTAAAGCATTTTTGACATTTTTAAGTTATTTATCTATGTTGCAGTAATAAATTAAAAGAAAGGCCTTTTGTCTCTTTCTGTATGTTTGTTTTTGCGCGGGTGAAGCAGAAAATTTTACAGATACAGAAAGCTTTCATTTCCATCCTTTTTAAGACACATAAATTTAAGTAATTAGACAGCTGACGTACACATGAAACCAACATGTTTAGTTGTCTTTATATTCTTATCCTTCAGGAACCTGAAGCTCTGTTTAAGGTCTGTGTGGATAAGCTGGTGGAGGAGCTGCACATGAAGAAACTGTTGGAGCCACACGTCATAGAGAAGAAGTGATATCTTGAACCATTTGTGTAACTGGAAAAAATTATTAGGTTGAACTGTGAAGCTTCTCTGGATCTGGGGGAGAGTTTGAATCACCACATCCTTGTTTCTGAATGCAACCGGGAAGAGCGCAAAGGTGAAAGTGACAGAAGAAATGTTGGTTTAATACTTATTTATCCTATTTCACTTATGGATTATTCCTCTTTGCATTTAACAGCCTTGCATAAGGAAGTTCAGGAATTAAGGGGAAAAACCTCCAATGGTGTAAATATTCCCTGAGCAGCTCTGATATGAGGCACATGTATAAAAAATAAAAGATTCCTTTTCTCTTAAAACTTGATTCTGTTTGTTTGTTTTTTAAAGAATATTTAATGAGTTTATTTTTTAAATAACTTAAATTTGAAAACACAATTTCTTCTATTATCAAACCATATAAATATATGTTTAAATGTACCTTTTCCTTCAGTTAACATGGTGTTAAGGTGTTACTTATCCACAGATGTTACTGTACATTGTCCACTCTGAAATACATCCACCTGTGCTGATATCGACATGGCTGTGACAGTGGGTCTTGAGTAAGTCGGAATATTATCGAAAGAACAATATCCACCAGTGTCGCAGCAGAGGTGTTACAGCAGTGAAGCACATAGACTGGTAGCAAAACCCAGAGTGAAAAAATTATCTGCTAATTAATATTACCGTGCATGCAAAGATATCGAGAAATTTACCAATTTTTTCCCCCGTTTGTTAATATCATCACTTTACCGAGTTCTTTTGATTCCTCAGAAGCATCCGATGGAAGACAAAACACTGCTCAGTAGACCATTTAACACTTTATTTCTCTTTTACAATACTTCTAGAAGGGAGATGCGTCCTGCAAGACACGTTGCCGCAGATCTCAAAATGGTGACGAGCCCCTGACAGTTTTATTACAGAAGATCTCTCATTATAGTCTAAACAACAGCCTTCCAGTAACTCCACAGAAAATGGTTCCCTCTTTTCTATATTTTCCCAGGCAAGCATAGTCTCATGTCTTTATTTTCAGGGCTGTGTCCACTTAATACTACACTATATAACTTTATAGCACTTATTAATAAAAAGCAGAGCATAATTGAGGCACTGAAAATTATTTAATCCCAACACTTCCAACTGACAAAAAAAATCAGTTTGTGTGTTGATTTCAAAATTCAAGACTGTTGTTATTATATAAGCATAACACAAATTAAGGTAATGCTCCCACAAATGGAAAAAAAAACATACTGTCATTTTTATTTATGTTACTAACTCCAAAAGTTGATTCTGTTCATCTGGACGTAGCGTTTTCAGTAGGAGAAACGTTTCATCACTCATCCAAGTGACTTCTTCAGTCTCAGCTGACAGTAGGTTTCCCCAATCTTATAAAAAGTACATTTGCATAATGAATGAAACCAGCCCACTGAAGGAACAATGGGCTGGGAGGTCAGTTCCTTAATCTTAATTATGCAGATTCTCATGACTATTGATCAACAACCACTGATCAAAGACCACTGATCAATGGCCATGAGTACCATTGACTCCTTGACGCTGCGTTCCTCCCTGTCCAGGATGTGTACATCCTCATCCTTGAAAGAGTATCCACTGGCCTGTAGGTGTAAATAGACTGCAGAGTCCTGGCCTGACGAGGTAGCTCTTCTGTGTTGTGCCATGGTAATTTTTCTTTTGCAACAACTTATGAGAATTTCAAAGCTGTTCTTTAACACTCCGACACTGGTCTCTCAATCCCCCGTTGGAGAACCGCGAGCTTCCCCATGATGGTATCAAACTTCCGTTCTGTGGTTGTACTGGCCTCGTAGAACCACTTTCTACTATCCAGGAGTTAAACACCTCCACACAAAAGTCACTGACGCCAGAGTGGGTTTAGACTTTGCTTTATATGGCAGGTGTGAAACTGTAACAACAAAATACAGTGTATATGAGTGACAAACTGAAATAATTACTTGAGGAGCTGCGTGACTGAGTGCTAATGCTAACACCAAACAACTGTCTACAAACCATAAATTAGCACGCGTAATCCAGCATCTAATTAACTGCTATTAATCAACATAAAGTGCCAAACAATAATGCATACTCACAGGGAATGCCTTTTTATCAGCCTTTCACAGCATAAATCACAGCATAGATCACATTCAGTCGATTGTCTGATTTTTTCTTACACTTCCCCTGTCCGCACACGGACCATGCCTTTCTCTTAAAGGGCCAGTGCACTAACCAAACAAAACAAACATGTACAAATTTGACAACAGTCAGAACACTCCCCGCTTGGTATCTTAGGGATACCACAACAGATATCTAAACATCACTAGATAACAGAAAAACCATTTCAGAAATGGGTCTATAATAAGTCTTAACATTTCCCTTGGAAGCAACTCTAACTTCAGACTTTCTGATGATTCCATCTTCACTCGCAACTGTCTTTTCGATTACGCCCATTGGCCACTCATTTCTTCTTGTTTGTTTGTCCTTGAGGAGAACGACATCTCCCTGTTTAATGTCAATGTTCTTGTGGTGCCACTTTTGACGAATTTGGAGGCTGTGCAGATACTCCTTGCGCCATCTGCTCCAGAAAGTGTCTGCAAGGAACTGAACCCGCTTCCAATGGCTTCTGAGCATTTCTTTGGGTCCTACATCATCACAGATGGTGGGTACAACTCCAGTCTTTTGTGTCAGCAGCATCGCCGGTGAGAGAATGTGAGGATGTTCTGGGTCTGATGATACTGGCAACAACAGTCGTGCATTCAGTATAGTTGTGACTTCCGCAAGAAATGTGGTCAAGATCTCATGAGTGAGTTGAACATGGCCAGTTTGCAGCAGCATGTTATCAAGTATTCGCCGTGCTAAACCAATCATCCGTTCCCATACTCCCCCCATGTGGGAAGAATGGGGAGGATTGAAAACCCAGGAACACTTCTGGTCCTGCAGAAAGTGTTGCACTTTGTCTTTCTCTGGTGCATTAGTGGCTCTTTGTGAGCACCAATGAAATTAGTGCCGCAGTCCGAGCGCAGTTGTTTTGCGGGTCCTCGGAGGGCGAAGAAACGCCTCAGTGCATTAATGAAACTTGAAGAGCTCATCTCCTCCACTACTTCAATGTGGACAGCCCTTGTACACAGGCACGTGAATAATATTGCCCACCGTTTTCTGTTTGCTTGTCCCCCTCTTGTACGCCTTGTAGTTACTTCCCATGGGCCAAACATGTCCATGCCCACATAAGAAAAGGGGGGCTCAACTTGGAGGCGATCTACGGGCAAATCACTCATTAACTGCTCCTCAAACTTCCCTCTCAGCTTCTTGCATGTCACACATTTACTTATGACTCTGCTAATGCATCCTTTCCCTCCTACAATCCACAAGCCACTTTCTCGGACAGCGCCCTCTGTAAAATGCCTGCCTTGATGGCTTACTTTCTCATGGTGGTGGCGCACAAGGAGGGTAGTGATGTAGTGACTGCCTGGCAAGATAATAGGGTTGGTGTCTTTTACTCCCAGCCCTGCGCGATTAATGCGACCACCAATTCTCAGCAGATTGTCACTTCCAATCACAGGGTTTAGTTTTACCAGCGGGCTGTTTTTTGGGAGGTTCTGTTTTTCAGAGATCCGCTTTATCTCGTCTGCATATGTTTCAAACTGCACATTTTTAATGATCATTGTCTCTGCTTGATCTAACAGATCTGGGGTGATGGCCGTTTTACAGATGTGCCATCCTTTACAGTTTGGCTCAATGTTTGATTGTGAAAACCATTGTGCGATGTGAATCAAGTTTGACATGGTTTTCCGAAGTGAGCGCCATGTGGAGAAACGCTCCCAACATCCTGAGCCCAAAACTCCCTTGGTTATGTTAGTGCAAAGTGTCTTTACCTCTGGGCGTACCTCTGCGTCATTGTCTGGGTCCAGCAGTTTGTAATCAGTCTGCTCTAGATGGATGTATGAAGGGCACTGGAGAAACGCTGGACCTGTGAACCATGTCGTGTGTTCTAACTCAGCGGCTGGAACTGATCGTGAGCCGTGGTCAGCAGGATTCTGGTCGGTCGTAACAAAATGCCATTGCTCTGGAGTAGTTGACTCTCTAATACGACACACACAATTGTTTACATAGACATAAAAATGTCTGGATTGGTTGTGAATATAACCAAGAACCACCTTGCTGTCTGTATAGAAACTAGTTTTGTCTATAGGGTGATCAATCTCTTCACA